TTTAATGGTTTTTAAAAGCCTTACACTTTTATTTGTAATTAACCTATCAATAATAGTGTCACTTAGACTTTCCCTAGGAATATTATCTCCTCATTATTGTCACAAAACAGGCTGCCCAATTTCATAGCTGAGTTGTTCTAGTACATGGTTGGTGAATCTGAGTTAATCTGAACTGCAATGACTCTTTCTTTAAGGGACCCACTCCCTGGCTTTCATAAGTGTAAAGAAAAGAGTAATTAAGATGTGATGCGATGTACAATTGCACTGGATAAATTCAAATGATTCGTGAACACGACAGAGTACTTCATTCTGTGGAAACCCTATAATTTGTTTGTTTATTTTTGTGGTGAGTATAAGCAGCTACAGAAATGAAGTGGGCACAGCTTAGCCTGGGCTGAACTTTTGGTTCAGCCAAATTTTAGGTATTTCAAGGTCAAAAACCATCCCAAAGATCTAGCGAGAAGGAGAGGTTCAGGTGGATGGGCTCCTTTTATAAGACAAGGAGGCTGGGTAACCTTTATCTTGTATATTTTAAAAAACACCTGAATTTACAAAAGCCAGCCATATCTTGGTGGTTATGCTGCCTCAGCCTTTACAATTGAGGTTGGCCTTGCCCCGGGGAATGATGCTACATGGCCACATTTCCTGGCATCATATAAGAGTTGGCTGCTCCCTTGGGCAATCCCAGGGAATCCAGTTTCAAAGCATTCTGTTGCCAAACTGTGGCTTGCCTTTGTAGGATCACTGTAAAAAACACAAGGAAAGTCTAGGAGCCAGCTCAGCTAAGAGTGAGTACTTCTCTAATGCTAAGTTCTTCCTGACCTGAAAGTGCTGCAACATTTGGGGAGAGGCCACAGCACTCTCCCTTTCTATTGAGGAAGGGAATCCGTCCAACTAAGCAAAGCAGCCCCTGAAGGTTGGGCCATCAGCATGAAGGTCCTCTTCTGCTGCTGTCAGGCAGTGCTGAAGCCACCCTCGATACCCTCTCAGCTCCTGGGACCACGAGCACCTGGCCCTCAGAGTCTGTCCTGCCCTAGCCAGATCTGGACCAGCACAGGAGGGTGGCAGATGGCATGGGCATCCCCTGCTCTCCTGCCCTCCCCTACCTGTTCCCTCTGAGAAGCATCTTTTCCTCACTGCCATCCACTTGCACAGGGACAGTGACCCATGAGACAGAGGAAGAGCAGAGGCCGATTACAAAGCATTATTGCCAGCTCCCATTCCTCTCAGCCTCTTCCTTGTGTTGGTGGTTTCTCTGCCCAGTTCTCACCCTCGTTCTCACCCCAAAGGCACGGTTGTGGTCAGTCAATGTGGAGCTCCTCTGCATGCCTCTCCTGGTTCTATGCAGCCAGTGGCATAGCAGTGCCAGGCTCCACAGGAACAGCTGTGGCACAAGTTTATGAGCAGGGACATCGCCTGTCACCCCTCCAAACTTAGCTGCAATTCTTGCAGAAGCACTGGCACATGTGTAGGACAAAGCGCATGGGAAGCAGCTTGCACAGCACAGCAGATGCCCAAGAGCCCCCCTGCTCCTGCTCCCATGGCCTGTTCTGTTGTCCTCTCCAAGCATACACCAAGGAAGGCAAGGAGATGGGCCAGCAGTTTCCATTTGCATCACCCTCTCTGGGCAAAGGATCCAGAGTGGGGAGGTGAATGAATGGTCTCATTGACCTTACTGAGAAGAAGTGGACCCTCCCAGGAAGGGGCCTGCCAAAGGCATTTTGCCCCAGGGCTGAACCAGCCTGAGCATGAAATACCATTTCACAGAGGCCAATTTCTGTGGCTTTCATAGGTGAGTCATAAGTAGTGAGCAGATTGAGAACAGTTTGCGGTATTTGCTGCAAATGGACCCCCTGTCAGGCACTCATGTGATAAAAACATTGCTTTAAAACGGGGCAAGATCATGCCCAACAATCAAGTCTTCAGGTGGCCTTCCTGTATTGCAGCCCCCTTTTTTTTGGTAAGAGAGCACCTTTACGACAAAAAAGACCTCTCTGTGGGCCAGTCCCCAGATGCATCCTGCAGTGAGAATTTTCTTTGTGCCGAGAGAGGCAACTATCCCCATGCTGAGCAATTGCTGTAGTGGTGATAAATGTGTTTCTGTAATCTGTTCAGTCATGTGTCTTCCTCTCCTGTCGCTATACCCTGTTTGCAAAAAATCCCACCTACATTATCTGTCATTCAGTGCACCAGTAATCGACCAACCCGGCAAAACAAATAGCTGTTTCCTTTAGCTGGGAAATATTGACAAGTAGCCTGTGGTACTGTTGATACCATGTTCCTTTGACCGATTTCACATTTTCTTGCACGTGGGTGATAACCCCCGGCTCCTTAGCAGACAGAGAAACAGCTGTGAGGATTAGGGAGCCGTTGCATGGTGTTGTCCTTTACCGTCCAGCTTGTTGGGCCAATGAAGATGCCACGTGCCAATGAAAGGTCCACTGACTGTTAGAGGAACCTCACAACTGGGCCACAGGCAGGAACAGCTGGGCAGGCAGGGACATGTGGCCAGCCAGTCTGGCTGGCTGAGAACGGGAAGAAGTCGGCCAAGCAGCTGGGTGGGCAGGTGGTGGCAACAGTGGCCACCTGTAGTCACCTGTAGTGAGAAGTGGTGCTTGGCAGCTGTACCTAGCAGGTTCTTCTTTGCTGTGGCAGATGCCACCATAGGGGTGGGCTGGGGTGGGGTGGGGAAGGGAGAGACACACACTCTTCCTGCTCTGCCACGGGATGCGGGCATCAACCTGCATAATGATCCTACTTAGGTAAGGATGTTGAGCTTTTTCAGCCAAAGGGCAGAATCCCACTTGTAAATAATTGCCATTAGGGACTGTCAGGCAAAGAAAGTGTTCCTCCTTTAAGGCAAAATCTGCCCACTGAAGCCCTGGAACCATGGCCTTCACCATGGTGTCTGCATGTAGATACCAACTGTCAAAACAATGACAGTCCTAATAAATCAGGGAGTAGCTCTTGTTATAACAGATATACGTAAGGATGCTGGAGGTGTTAGCAATGCTGGGAAACTCACTGAATGATCGCATCTGCTGCATGAAAGAGCACATCATCCCTTATCAGGTACTGGTATAAGGTGTTCTGTAATCAAAATGTTTCTGTTATGTTTAGTCACAGGCCATTACATCAAAACACTGAGGCCACCAGCAGGGAAAATAAATGACTGAGAACAATACCCATAAAAAATAGACGAAGGGATCAGCAGAACAATTGATGGCCAAATGTTGCTTAATTTGTCCAATTAAATTTCTTTCTTTGTTCTTATTTATTTATTTATTTATTTTTGCCATCACTACAATAGTATAGTAATGTACTATACTAGTATGGCAGATACATCTGCAGAATTAGGAAATTCCCCCACTCTTCTCTGTCACTAGTGGAAGGTAAGCAATGGCAGTCCATATCAGTAAGTCTCTGTTAATGATGTGAGGGTGGGGCAGCTTTTCTTTTGAACTTTACAGAAGCTATCCATCTCCCAAAAAAGGTCCAGCAACATGGAGTGCCATGGATGGCCACTGTAAAGCTCAAAATAAAAGCTGCAATGGATGAGGAGCCCAAGTAACCCAGGAAACACCAGCCTCTGCTGTATAGTGATGACACAGAAACATAGAAACAGAGCAAGTGAGAAGGCGTCTCCCGGGCCATCTAGTCTGACCCCCGTCTCCAGCCGGCTCCGCTCACGACATGCCCACCATGTGCATGTCCAGCCTGTCTTTGAACACACTCACCGATGGGGCCCCAACGACCTCCCATGGAAGCCCATTGCACACCCTCGGGGTTCTAACTGTCAGGAAGTGCTTGACGACAGCTGGAATACCGTCCAAGATGCGCTCCATGGATAAGCAGACCTCTTTGCTCATTGCTGCTGCTGTGCTTGAAGGGGTATTCTGAATGTTGCGCCTCTCACTCATTGGTCAGCATCTCAAGGCAGAATTAGCCAATGGGATATGCTAGCACAAAATGCACCAATGGCTGCTCGCTTGGACTTCTTTCAAAGGGGAATGGGCACACTCACAGAGGATATGGATGACACTGCTGCATATTACCTCCAGGTTCTGGGAAACATGAGCCATGAGTGCAATTGCATTCATGCCCCACTTGTGAATTTCAATAGACATCTAGCTGGGAACTGTGAAGGCAGAAGGCTAGACAAGATGGGCCTTCCCTCTGATCCGGCAGGGCTCGTCTGGTGTTCAGCAAAATGTCCTCCAGGGACTGTATCTCTGCAGACAGATGTTAGGGGTGTATTTTTAAAAATAGTTAATTTAAAATCACCATAATTAGAGATCTAGTCTATCAGGGATAGGGCTAGTCTAGAAATTTCTCTGAAAGAGTCCCATAGCTTGGCAGTCATGATTTGTTTCTGATCATATATGAATAGGTGTGATAAGTCCATCAGTGGGATGCATGACTCAGGCAGCCAAGACCCTTTCTACTGAACTTAAAACTAGCATTTCCATTGTAAAAGGAAATGAGTCTTAATCCAACCAATGTTCCACATTGTTTGTGCCCATTGATTTCAAAAGAAGAAAATTAAGTACATGCCCCACCACTGAAACCAGTGGGGTTAAATGTGCTAACTTTGCCCAGGTTTTGCCCTTTCCTTTTATTACGTGTGCTCCTTCAGCAAACTGGACCTCAAATGGATGAAACTTCCTCTGAACAGAGGAACTCACCTTCTTTCTTGTGCTTGCTGCAGCTTCAGCATTCCCAGCTGTTAGAATGGTTCTGTTCCTTGTGTTCAAAGCGTCTGCAAAAATTGCAGGGTGATGTGAACGTGGTTGCAGAGGCAGGCCGAAGATACAACCAAGGGTAGAGTTCCATTGCCTTTTCATTCAACAGGCAGGAGAAAATTTTCCATTGATATATCTGGTGCAGCAGATGCATTAAAACGAATGCAAATGAATTACACATTAATGAATGCAAATGAATTACACATTACACACACACTGCATTAGAGTCTTCTAATGTTATCTCCTTTTTCCTGGCAGGTGGGGGACCAAATCATTGAAATTAATGGGGAAACCACAAGGGACATGACACATGCCAGAGCAATAGAACTCATCAAATCTGGAGGCAGAAGAGTACGGTTGCTACTGAAACGTGGAACTGGACAGGTCCCAGAATATGGTGGGTTTTCAATTTTTCTTCTTATGAGTATTATTAGAATGAAGATGAAACTATGGCTTTCTTGTGACTGCAACTACATGTGTTAGATTCCATGTAGCATCATACAAGCAGGCAAAAGGACTTCCCCTTGCTCTCCCTCCTGTTGTGCCCACCTACCAATCTACTCCAAATGGAAATCCAGGAGCTGCAGGGACAAAACCGTTCTGTCAGTGGAGCTGTTGTATGGTGGACAGGCAAGCCATTCATTGCTACACATCAATTGCAAATATGCCAAATCAGCAAAGTATCCCTGTTGAGGTACATACTAGCATGTTTCCTCACATGGTTGTGCACCTTTTATAAAGGTTTACCGGCAAGAGAAGTGCACCTGCACCATCTTCAGCAATTCTGATTCCAAAAGCTAAATCAGAGGCAACATTTGCCATCCCTAACAGGGGCAGAGATGCTCTAAACTCCTAAGGAGCATCCCATGACTGATTTTTTTCCTGGAGAGGGTTACTTGAGCATGTTGAGGGGAAAGTACTCAATTCCACTGGTAATCAAAATAAAAATAAAATGTTTGTGATATTTTCATCACAAGAGATTTCCAAAATGAATATATTGCGTGCTTTTTTCTGGCAATGATTAATTTGAGTTAGCTGCCATTTTGCTGCTGTTTTAGCAGCTCTATTTAATTTGTGTGGCAGGTTGATTTTACCACAGTGGTTTTAATAAGCTTTTAATTGCTTGTTTAGGAAAAAAATGTAAGCTGGTTTGGCAGCTCTCTGGAAAGTAGAGGAAGGCAGATAGTATGAATAACAACGCTGTCACCATAATCCACAGCAACAACAAGAACAATGTATAAGATTGCATGATATGAGCAGCCATGTACCCTTTTTCTCCCAGTATGACCATTGATAAATCAATTTCATTTCTGGTTGTTCAGTGTGGGATTAAAATACTCACTTGGAACTTGAGGGCCTTTTTGTTACAGCATATATAGGGCAAGATCCATCCCTTATGTATGCCCTCTTTTGCATGGAACTATGTGCACACGAAAGGGCTAAACATAGGCATTCTTTCACATTATTTCTTAACCCTTTTAATTTAAGAGATATTCCCCAAGGTACACCCAGGAAATCAGAACCTCTGAGCAAATCTTTTTCCTCCTCAGAACTGCAACAAAATCTTACCTTCACATTCTTTTTTGTGTCTATTATGTTAACAAAAGGAGCGTAAAGGAACACTCCTATAACCTCTTGATGTTGCCTGGGGGCATCAGAATATTTGGAGCCACAGCCCTAAATTTTTGCAGACTCAGTGCTGAGACTCCAAAGGCTGAGCCCTGCCGGGTCCCCCTCACAGCCTGTGTGCAAAGAATTGTGCCAGCTGCTCCCCAAGGTCACAGCTGGGTCTCAAAGAAGCCAAAAGTAGCATGCTGGGGCAGCAGGGAGAGCAGAGAAGGCTGAGCCCACTTCTTATACCAGTTCCTATTGGTGGCCGAGCCTCCTTGTGTTCCCCTCTCTGACACTGAATCTAGATGGTCAAAAACAAGCAGGGATCGATCTGAACTCAGGAGCCTGTATGTATCAAGGATGGGGGGCATTGGATTGCCCCTTGCACAATTATTGCTGAAACCTTTTAAAACATGCAATATATACTTAATTATCAACAGCATCATCACAGGTATTTGTTTAGCAAGTTCAGGGGCTGATGAGAGATCTTGATTTTAACGCTTCCCTGTTGATTGTACGATACCAAAGAAGACAATGCATGTGAAACCTTTGTGACCATTTCCATTGTTTGTCTAACCAGTCACAGCCTTCTGAAATTCTAACTCCACAGACACTTTGTAGTTAGAGTGGTACATCAGTGAGTTGAACCTCACTGCATTTTCGCAGGTATTCCACCTGGAGAATCTGTGCTCATTTGCAAGCCCACCCTCACTCCTGCACAAAATCAAGTTACATTCTGAATTGGACCAAGCAGCATTCGTGATTGATACATTCTGGAACATAATCTCCACCAAAAGAGACTCCACACCTTCCTGAAAAAGCTTTTAAGGCCATGAGTTAATTGCTACATATTGGCTGCAACACTTCCGAAATACTTTTCATTCTCCAATTCTCTATTCAAAAAAGCCCTGATTCACCTACTGATTGCTGGATAGTACATTAAACATTTGCCCAGATTGTATTAAAAAAGGAGGCAAAGGAAAGAACAAGGGACAATTTTTCTGAGAGCATAAAACCTTTGTGGCGTATAAAAAAAGAGGTTATGTGTTGGAAGTATTCAGTCAGTCCACTTTAAACCAACCCTGATCAAATCACTTTAAACCAATCCTGATCAAATCAATTAATCATATGTGCAATTTATAGCAATGACTTTTAGAATGTAAACTTTTTAACTGCAGTAGTGAGCAAAGAGCCTTCATTACTTCTGTAAGGACCCTATCTGTAATTGACACATTTGCTCAAGCAGGGTTCTTTCAGGCATGACTTTCAACAAATATACAAAGAGATTTTCCTGGGATGAGCATGCAAATTATACAGAAAATACATAATGTATGACACTCTCTATCTGAGGGGCCCCGTAAAGATATAGGAACATTTACTTACCTCCTACCCAATGTGATTAAGTAGTTAAAACCAATGAATGCATTCCTAGTATTTCAGTGAATCCATGCAAAAATGCACGGGTTAACTAAGTTATGGGTTTCTCTAATGAAGAAAGCAGCTCTTAATATACATTTTTTGATAAATAGACTATTCGATGGCCTGGTTCTCAGATTATGCTAACCCACAGCATTTTTAACCCATGGTTTGTTGCCTTAATGAAGAAACTGCTGTTTGTTTTCTTGATGCTTGGGCTGGTTTGGGAGAACTGAACTGGCCAAATGTTTGAGAAGAACCCTGCACATGACAGATTAGATCCCAACCGATGAATAGCAAACTCGAAAAGAACTAACAGAAGCACTGTTCTTATTTCATTGCTTGAAGGATTAGTTTCTTACTTGACTTAAGATAATCTGCAACTGAGGTAACAATAGTATAAGTGACTTCAAGTGATATGCCAGGAGTGTAAGCTAGTCCTACAAGTTTCCTGTCAATTTCTCATAGCTAATGCTGCCTTGATTGTGTGAGCAGAGTGGCAGTGTTGAACCTTCACTCCCCAGGAGATGGGAGCATCTGGAGGAAAAGTCCTCTGGCCCTTTAACAGCAAGGTGTAGCACCTGGAAGAGGAGCATGGGAAAGATGCACTTGCCCTTACTGTGAAACCCTACCTGTTGCTGGTCCTTGCTCCTGAAACCAAGCCAGTCCACAGTGTGACCCAGCTGCCTTTCTCATGTTCCTCAGGGCAAATGCTGGATTTTCTGATGCAGCATGACATATGGGAAATGTAGTGCTAGAATTTGTTCATTCATGTATTTATTATCAAGAAAAGCTATCAAGGTGGTAAACAACAATTGAAAGCAACACCATCATAAAAAGAACCCTAGAAACAGTAACACAGTAGAACAACTACAAAATTAAAACATTGAGATAAAAAGGTGCGTCTTCACACCTTTCTCAAAGCCAAGAGAGTGGAGGCCAGGTGGAGCTCTCCAGGGATAGCATGCCAAACTTTGAAATGGCCCAGGAGAAATCCTTCCATGCATGCCCCACAAATAGGCTGCTGTGGATAATAATGGCCTCTCCTGCAAATCTGAATAACTGAACAAGTCCATATGACATTTGCAGGGACAATGCCAGGATTCTAGGAATCCTGCTCATGGATTCTTCCCTTGTAAATCCTGCTCACTCTTTCATCCCTTGGAAAGCTAGATCATTAATCCAGATGGAAGTTCCTCACATGCATTGGTTCACACAGTCATTTTAAAGGCTACAGTTGAACTCTAAACTTTACATCAAAAGGGGGCTTTAGCAGTTATAAGGATCTCAGAAATTCCTTGAAAGCTGAAAGGTGCATTTTTTATAAACAGAGTACAACAAATGTCCTGACCTTCCTGTTGTCTTTAGAAATCCAGATTTCATGTAAAAATAAACGGGTGTTACCCATGCAGTGAGAGGGAATAAAAATCCTGAATCTGAACATCTCCTGTTATACATGAGTTTGCTCAGGAGCTCTCTGTAGAAGAAAGAAGGATGAGTAATGCTCCAGCAGCAGAGTCGACTTCACAGGAGAATGCACTGGCTAATAGTTGGATTTTGCATATCCACCCCAAATATCACAATCCATTTACTGAAGATAATATTTGCTGGAAGAACTAAAATTCTCACAAGAAAGAATGGATATTCTGCTCTAGGCTAATAAATAAATAAATAAATTCTGGCAAATTGTTTCAAAGAAAATCACTAGGAGAATGTTGAGGCATCTTCAATGTATATATATATATATGTGCCCAATTCATGTGATTTTCCTCCTGCTGGAGAGCCAATCTGGTATAATGGTTAGAAGTGTAGGTCTGGGACTCAGTTAATCTGGGTTCTAGTCCCCTCTCAGCCATGGGGCTTACTGGGTGACATTGGGCCAATCACAGACTTTCAACCCAGCCTACCTCACAGGGTTGTGGTCACTGTGAGGATATGATTTGGAGAGGAGGAGAATTATGTAAGCCACCTTGGGTTCCTTGAAAGGAAAAAAGGCAAGATATAAATATAATGGATAAATACAGGGGGTAATTTGCCAATTGAGTGCACATACATATATGCAGATATATGTAAACAGGCTTTGCCCATGTTACTAGTTAATAGATATGCTCATGAGATTCCAGTGACCCTCCATGCATCACCAGGCAGTGTGTGAGCTGGTCCTTAGAACTCAAACCAAAATAATCCCAATCACCTGACAGACCACAAAGATAATTCTGGTATCAGTATCGGTATAAAAATGGGAATAAGCTGTACATACCAGGCAGAAGCCTATGTGGATAGCCACATCCTAGTTGCTTCCCCTCACTTTGAAATGACTGCCTGGCTTGCCAAGATGCGCTCAGGATTCAGCATGGCATTTCAAAGGTT